TGAGCACTTGAGCACCGGATAGGGTCGATTCCGCATGGTACGGGACCCCTCGATCGTCTCGCCCTCCCTCACTGGTGTGTTCATCGGGGGGGGTCATAACAAACACGGTACAGGATCGAGGTGCACGCTGCCGAAGCAGTGTCGTCCCCCCTCTCCCCGACGGCGATGGCGGTGTGACCGATCGAGTGCTATTTGTTCGTGTGGGGGTATATTGCAGATTTGTCAATGGTACCGCGTCTGCGACGCGGGCGGGCGCCTTGCGGGCAGAGCCCTTAGCCACCCTTTATATCTTGCGCGGTCATAACGCACGGGCCCTCAGCGGAGCTGGGAAGAGGACCGCCGCAAGCGGCGTGGCGTGGAGCGGTTGAGCATCCCTCCGGGGGCCCCTCTGCGCCGGGGAGGCGTTGTTGGAGGCTAGGACGCAAGCGTCCGTCGCCCTTTTCAAACTCGGGGCCCACTCCGCTACGCTCCGACCCGAATTTGGAGGGCCTAAAAGTTTAAGGTGTTGCTGCGCAAAAGGGGTCGGACACAGGGCGCAGCTCATGCTAAGAGCTAGAAGGGGAGCTAGAGAGAACGACTACCCTGTCCCGTTATTGCGTACACCAACACCACAAAAGCTCTCTCTCTCCTGTCCTCACTCAGAGCACAGAGGGGGGTCACAACTACCGAGTCTCTCGACTAGCTGCCACGTTGCCGACCGAGAGCGGATCTCCTCCTGCTCCGCAAGGAGGGTGGCCAAGGCTAAAGTCTTTTCAGCATTGGTCCTAGCTAGAAGAGCAGGTCGGATGGGTCGCTCAGGGACTTGGCAAAGTAGTCGACGCTCGTCAGCCGAGCGTCCGCATCCCTGCTCTCCATCTTGGCGTTTTTGTCCGCCAGAATTTTGTTCTCGTTCCTCAGCGGGGGGCAAAAGCTCCTCCTTCGTCTGCGACATGCCCGGGGATCAGCGCGCGCGGACACGTCTTCGCCACCACGCTCGCTCGTTCGTACCCCTCAACATATATTCGGCGCCCGAAAACTCTCAAAAGGAATGTTCAACGGCCTGGGCACCCACCCCTCGATTTAGCTCCGTGATCCTGTTGCGTCTTTCTTTTTTGTATGTCCGTCTCGTGACTGTGCAGGTGTGTGTTACCAAATTACACGCGCTCAGAACGCGTCGGCGTTGACTCTACTACGCAACTTGATCGATCGACAGCCTAAATCCCGAGGTCTTGTGCGTGTTCAGCCAGATTGACAGGGTGGCGCCACAGAATTAGAAAGAACCCAAATCACTGTGACAGTTGTGATTTCTTGTTGGTTTCAAAAAATCTCTCTCTCAGATGTCAGAACTAGCGTCTGGCAGCCAAGGGAGGGGCAATAGCTAACCCTAGGATCGCGAAAAGGACCGCGCAGCGTACAGGTGGAGCATACACACAAGATCTGGTCGACCGCTCCTATACCGCAACAGCACACAGGGCGCAAGTGCACAGCGGCAATAAATATTGCAAAAATAAAGAAAACAGACAGCCAAGGGAGGGGTGGGAGGACGGCACGCCGCCACCACACAGGGATTTTAAGGAGAGGAGTGTGGTGCTAGCCGTCGCCCACCCTTGGGCGTCTGCTTCTTCCTATCTCTCCTCGCAGCCTCTCGCCGATTCTCGCCGCAACCTTCATGCCACCTCGCGGTCGTCCCAGTCTCGTCGTTCTCTCCGCACGGCCTTTTCTTTTAGTGCACTGTTTGATGTGTATTTGGCGAGCTTTTCGCATGAAGTGTGAACGGCGTCTCTTCACACCTCGACGGTCCGGCGCAAAGAAATCGCTCCGCGCTTTCAACAGCGCCAAGCGGTGTGCGCAACACACACGCAACATGGCAGCCGGCCCAATGTCGCAGCTGGAGCTCCAGCTCGTGTTGATTGTGCTCGTCGCCGTCGCGAACGCGGAAGATCGAGCCTGGCACAAATTCGACGAGGTGAGGCGCACTCCATCACTCGCTGACCCTTGCGCCGGTCTTCACGCAAACAATCCCAGACCCGGTCGCATGCCTCCAACCGGTCCCGATAACGCTCGCGCATCCGCGCAGGATGTTTGTCAGCCTGGCACGCAAGCAGCGGTTGAGCAGGCTGAGCTCGTGTAGCCCAGAGAGCAAACAAGCTCTCCGTCCGACCGTACCCTATGCTGGCAGGCGCATGACAGCTGTCCACTCTGCTGCACGTCGGGTGTCTGCGCTGCCAAGCAGGCCGGTGTCTGCTCCGAGGCAGGGTGCGGCGACTGGTACGCCATCTGTCGAACATCGTCCTGCCTCGACTATCTCGGAGACGCAATCGGGAACGGTGCGCCACACACCGCACGACTCTCGTCTCGGCTCAGATTGCTTCATGGATTCCTTTCACTCATCACTCCTCGTCCTACCCTCGGCCCCACAGCGAGCTCCGTCAGTGCGCGCTGCGTCGAGTACACGCGTCTGTCGGCCAAGCAGGTTCATCCAATCTCGCCCAATCTCGCCCAATCTCGCCCAATCTCGCCCAATCTGACCTGCTATCCTCGACGTACGGCCACCCTCGCCTTGCGCCTCACCCTCACCTGTCCGCCGGTGAGGTGGTGCTATTGGTCGTCCTGTGCGCCGGCGCCGGCGCATACATCCTCCACCTCGTGGCGGCGCACTGGGCGACGGCGAGGGCGGAGGCCAGGCGGCCGGCTCTCTCGCACACTGCCCTCTCTGCTAGCGCCTCTCTGTCCCGTCGCTTGTGATACTTGGGCTGTGGAGGTCCCTCAGCAACTCCAGCAGTCCATGCCCCACGGCAGCCTTGCCAGCGGAGATACTTTACTCGCCTGACGCCCGCATCGCCTCTACTAGGCTTGCGCTCGTCCAGAGCAACGCGAGGGCCGAGCGCGAGATGGCCGAGGCGCCAGGCGCGTGAGGGGGCTGCATGAGCGTGGCGGGGGACGGGGGCATGCGTGTCTCGGTGCGCGAGCGACGAAGTGAGATCGCGACGGCACGGGCAGGGCTCCACTGTATGTTACTTAGTTAGACGTAAGAGCGCTTGAGAAATTGATCGTGAACCATATTTGTAATTTTGAGAGAACAACCGGAACCCGCGCACCGCGCAGCACACTCTCACTCATCACACACGCAAACAGCGCAGGTGTGCCCAGGGAAACAAACGGATAACGGTGAACAATGCGCACTCTGCGCCGCCGCCGAGCGGCACCGCCCGGCTCCGAGACTTTGGACGTGGGCGGCTGGCAGGTCGTCGTCACCGACGGGCACGCGGTGCTGCCCGAAGGCATGACGCACCTGCCGGACCGGGCGTTTCGGCACCGCACCTCTCTCGTCTCGGTCGCCTGCCCGCGCGGTGAGGGGGGGCGGAAGGAAGGGGAAAGAGGAGCGAGTGTCGCGCGCCTCTGACACCACACACGTCCTCGCAAACGCCGCCTGGGGAGGGACGGGGAGGGGACTGATTAGAGAGGGGTGGGTGCCGGTGGAATGTCCGCAGGCGTCCGGGCTACAGGAGATCTTTGGGAAGTGTCCGGGAAGTGTCTCTCGGAGGGCCAGGCGTCGCTCCGGCTCGCGTGAGGAAGTCACATCGGGCCGGATTTGCCGGTACCCGTCGCCGCACACTCCTACGTCCACGCCGCTGTGACGTCTGGCGACGAGGCGCCGGCCGCCAAGCTTCATCGCCAAGGTGGTCGCTCGCTGGTCCTCTCAGCTCGGGGCCAGGCGTCGGCCCAGCTCGCACGAGCTCCAGACAGCCACCTGAGTGTCGCCACGCGCAAAGCGTACAGGTCGCTCCCCATCGAGCTCTTCTTGCCGCACGGCTCTTTCTGTGTGCTGACACAGAGCTCCGTGCAAGCCTTCCAGCGTGATAGGAACGAGTGTATCGCTTCGACGGATCGACCGTGCTTGTTATCCACATCGATGTGACGCACACAGTGACACATCAGAACGACACATATTCTCCCACCCGCCGGGACGCAAAACGCTCTCGACGAGAGCCACAAGAAGGCGTCCGCACAGCAAGCCGCTCGTCGGACAGGCGTGCTCGCTCGATGTCGGCGAGCGCATGGCGCACGCTTTGGACGGTGGCGAAGCCAAAAACACCGATGGTGGCCGACTGGCCGTCCGCTGGCGGCAGACAGGGTTGCCAGGTGAGAGCGAATGGCGCGGTTCACGCCTCGCACAACAGAGAGAGAGAGATGCGCTCTGCATGGTGGGACATAAAAGAGAGCGAGTACTTGGGTTTTTCATATTGTTTTTCAGCTCTCTGCACGTGTATTGGGGGCACACATGATCGGTGCCATGATCGGAGTGGAGTCAGAAGGGTGTGGTTCTTGGAACGAGGAGAGTAGCTCGACAAACTGCGAGAGAGATTTTCCTCTTCGTTTTGTAAACTGGAGGACCCGGGATACGCTGCGAGGAGAGCGGAGCTACGCCAAAAGGTGAGAGAAGCCGCGAGAGCAAGGTCCCGGCAGGCGTCGGCGTCGTCGCAGAACGAGGCCGACCGACCGGCCGAGGAAGGAAGGAGAATGATAGGCGGAGGATGACGGGGCAGGAGAGAGGACGAGAAGAGAGATACGAAGAGCCAGACGCAAGGGGGTGGGCGAAGTGTGAAAAATAATAGTTAGAGCAGTCACTCCATGATTTATGCGCGACGGGCGACGAGAGCGTTCGTGGTTTCTTCCGTGTGCGCGAACAACCAGGCCTTGTCGACGAGAAGGCGTCCGCACAGCAAGCCGCTCGGTCGATCACGTTGCTGGCTCGATGCCGGCGAGCGCATGGCGCACGCCTTGGACGGTGGCGAAGCCAAAAACACCGATGGTGGCCGTCCGCTGGCGTGAGCGGCGGCGGTCGAGACCTCACCCTTCGCGCCGACGACCCAACCTCACGCGGAACAATACAACCCAACCCAACGCACCCGACCCAACCCAGCAACCCAACCCAAAAAGCACGATTCTAAAGTTGGGCCCTCAGCAGTCACTCCATGAGAGAAAAAGAAAGAAAGAAAACGGACAACTCAAGGGAGATGCGCGACGGCGCCGTTGGTGGTTGGGACACAGCGGGGCCGAAAGAAAGAGAGGTGGCATGCACCACCTGCTCCTCCTGGCCGCACTCACCCCGCCCGCGCGCCCACCGGGCGACGCGTTCGTCCTCCTCGGCGCGACGGCGGAGGCCAGCCTCGTCGAGATGCTCGGCGAGACTGTCGGCCGCCGCCGCGCGCTCCGCCGCTCGCCGGACGAGGAGCGGCTGTCGCTCGCGCTCACCCGGGCGCGCCGCCAGCACCGGGCGGCTTCGGCGCGCGTCGCCGCGCTGGACACGCGCGGCCACCACACTCGCCGCGCGCTCGAAGGCAGCAGCGGCTCTGAGCTCGCGAGGCGCAAGAAGGAGCGCCTCGCCGCCGCCGACCGGATCGCGCGGCTGGTGGGCGCGCTGCGGCGAGCGCGCGACGCGACGGCCGCGCAGGCGCTGGTGCTGGGCGGCGGCGCACACGGCACGGTGATGCTTGGTCGCGGCGTCCTCTCCGGCAGCGAGGCCACCACCCCGTCCAGCGGCTCTTTGCACTTCGGCGGGCCGCCTCTCGTCACAGTGCTCTCTGCGTGAGCAGGTCGCCATCAAAGTGAGCCGGCGCGGCGGCGGCGACAGCGAGGCGCTAACGACCGAGGCGCGCGTGCTGCGCGCGTTGCGCCGCGAGACCGGCTTCCCCCGGCCCCTGTACTATGGGAGGCAGGCGCTGCGTGGCGAGCCGTGCGACGTGACCGCATCCCCGGGGGCTTGGGCGGAGCTGGGAGCGGCGCCGACTGACCGATGCGCGGCCGCGGGCTACAGGTGCTCGTCCAGGAGGCTGTCGGGCCGAGCATCGACGCGCTATGGTGGGCCTCGAGCGGAGGCGCCGCCCGTAGCGGCGCGTAGCAGCAGCAGCCAGCCAGCCAGCCTCGGCCCCGAAACCCGATCCCTGATTCGAGACAAACCGCGAGGCCGCTGAGGGCCCCATCGCCACACCTGGCCCCCTCCCCGCGGAGCCACTCCTCGGGCCGTGTCCGTGGCCCGCAGAGCCAGCCCTTGGCCCCAGGCACCGCCCTCTCGCCGCGCTGCGCGCTGCGCGTGGCCTGCGGCGCGCTGCAGCGGCTGGCCAGCCTGCACCGGCTCGGCTACGCGCACAACGACGTCTCGACCTCAAACCTCTGCGCCGGTGCGGGCGGCGGCGCGGCGCAGCACGAGATACACCTCGTCGACTTTGGGTCCGCCACGCCGCTCCCCTCCTCCTCCACCACTGCGGCCGGCGGCGATCGCGAGCGCCGCGACACCGATGGCGGCGGCGGCGGGACGCCGCTCTTTGCGAGTGCCGCGGCGCACGGCGGGGGGCTGTGCGGCGCGGCAGACGACCTCGAGTCGCTCGCCTACGTCCTCTCCTTCCTCGCGCGAGGTGCCGATCCACCATGCGGAGCTCAGAGCGCGGCCCCTCACAACCCTGACGGCCCGCCGCCCTCCTCCCCGCCCGCAGGCTCCCTGCCGTGGGAGCACGCGCCGCCAGCCGACATCCCCGCCGCCAAGCGCGCCGCCACCGCCAGCCAGCTGTCGGAAGGGCTGCCCCGCGAGGCGGCCGTCGCCGTCGAGGCGCTGCTGCGGCCGCCGCGCGGCGCCGGTGGGGAGGTGCCACTGACCCCAAGACACCGCCGAGATGCCGCGGAAAAAGAGATCTCGGTGCCGCGCCAGCCCTCCCGGCCCGAGAGATCGACCCGAGGCGGTGGTCCGTCAGGTGGACCATGCCGCGCTGCTCCGCACGCTGCGCCTTGCGGCCGGCAGCGATGGTGGAGAGGAGGGCGAGGGCGAGCAGGGCGAGGGCATGGACTGGCAGCGCCTCGGGCTGAGTTGGAGGGCAGACGGGGCGATCCTTGACGCTGGAGGCGAGCTCGTGCGGAGGCCCGCGGGCTGAGACTGTGAGAGCGGTGCCGGTGGATCTGAGGTGGATGCAGACTTGCAGAGGGGGTGGACAGTCATATCATGTTCTATGTCGGAGTTTATTATTGTGATTATATGATGCATGACCATGAGTTTCCATGCTTGATGCATGATGGACATTGATCTTTGATGCTACTGGGTATATCTAACATGGTGAGCAATTGCGCGAGAGCACACTCGTGACAGTACGGGGTGTGGAGGGTGAGACGTGAGTTGAACAAGGGGTTGTGCGCCCCGGGCCCTCCTGCTCGGCTCCAGCCGCAGCCCCTGTTGATAGGTCCAGGTGATAGTCCTGGATGGGCAATGCATACGCCTCACTGGGCCTTAGATCGCCCGACCGCGTCCCGGTGCTCTGCCGTCGGATTTGTGACGCCGCCGCACCGCGCCGCGGCCGGGGGCCCTCCGGAGGCCGAGGATGGCCGTGACGGACCGGGACGAGCTCTGGGAGGTTCAGTGTCTGTATATATTGTAGAGACCAACCATGTCCACAATATCTCTCAGTCTAGCTAAGCCTGGGAAGGCGATGCCGGGGCCGTATACAGCAGCTTGATGTGCATGCCACCGAAAGCGCTGTCGAGGTTCGCCGAGCGCGGCGCAGGTTGAGGGAAGCCGCCACCGACGAGCGCGTTGGACTTTTCACTCCGGACAAAGACGGGTACACGCACACGAGCCGCGGTCGTGTACCCGTCTTAGCGGCGAGGCGCGGGACCGTCTGTGGCGAGGTGGGTCGCGTCCCTCGATTTCGTTCAACCCACCCTCCACACCCACCCTCTAGACACACACACCTCTCACGTCTCAGCTCTCACCTGAGTCCTGAGAATGCTGACAATATTCCGATTTCCTCAACTCACGCGTCAGCCGTCACGGTCCACACCCTTTATATGTTGTATCTTGTGTGTATATCCCTGTGCGACTAGAGAGAGCGCGTCGCGTAAAGCCGTACCTGATGATATGTGTGAGTGCAGTGTGAGTGAGAGGACAACTTCCTGCTATACGTGATAAGCCGCATAACGTGTGTCGGCATTGCGCCCCTGGGCCTGGGGGCTGGGGGACATGCAGCGACCACAGTGCACACAGCGAGAGAGACAGAGAGCTGCACGGGGCGCTTGGACGCAACCGGTCGCGAGGACTCAGGAGGGGTCGCGCAGCCGGCACGCTAAGGGGAGGGGCAGGTAGTCCCCTGGTAGCTCTTCTCGCAGGAGCGGCGGCTGGCCGCCCCCGGGGTCCCCTGACAGATATAGAACTCGGCCACGTGGGAGGAGCCGCCGGCGCAAGACTCGCACTCTCGCGGAAAGCCGCTGCACGTTTCCTCGTAGGGCAGGTCGGGGTCGTCGCACTTCTTGATCTCGACGTAGTAGTCGGCGCACTCGTCAGCGCTACGCCCCACGTCGGAGCATTTGTCGACCTTCTCCTTGCCGGGCGGAACATCACAAGTAGAGGGGGGCGGCGACGGCGACGGCGAGTCGCCGTGGTCGAAGAAGATGCAACCGATGATGCCAGTCACACGATCGATAACGCCGCCATCGCCGAAGAGCACATTCAGGATGCAAAAATCAATCTCGGGGTGCACCTCGGGGAACAGTGAGGCATCCTTGAGATCAAAGATGCAAGAGATGAGGCCCTTTTCCGGGGGCACGGCGGCATCGACGAGCGTCTTGATGCCGGTGGGAATGACCGGACTCATCTCGCCGGGGCACTCTTGGCGCTCGAAAACGGGAAGATCCAGGTCCAGGTCCGGGTCGGGGCGTCCGAGGCAGCCCCTGATGTCGGAGAGGAAGTGGCGGACGTTTTTGGTCTCGAACAGATTCTCGACTGCGCGGATGATGCAGCCGACGGCGCCCTCACCTGGCGTGAAGCCGTCAATGGCGTAGTAGATGACACAGATGACGTTCAGGTCTGGTGGCGTCGCCGCATCGATGATGGCGGTGATTGTCTCCAGGAGGCTGGAGTGCGGCGCAGGGCAGGTGTCTTGGAGCCCTGGAGGTGCAGGTAGCGTCACTGGCAACTACAGAGCAAGGGGACGGAGCAGGTGTGAGTGGGATGGCATGGGAGAAGGCGGGGAGCTGCAGCATGGGAGACGGCGGGGAGGAGGAGCACGAGCGAACCTCCGGAGCGCCCGCGATGCAGCTACGCAGGTCGCGGAGGAGCTGACGAAGGCCTTGGATTGGGTCCCGAGACTCGATGTAGGCGCGCACGGCGGTGAGCATGCATGCAGTGAAGCCGTCCGGACTGGTAGACCCATGGAGGGCGTAGTAAACGATGCATGGGATGTCGAGCCTGCTCACCGCGTCCAATATAGCCGCGACAGTCTCTTCAACCGTGTTGGTTGGGAGCGGGCAGCGGTCGGGGTCGCCCGTGTCACTGTCAGGAGGGGTCGGCGTAGAGGAGAAGAGCTGCTTGCGTGCCGTCGCGGCGACGGCTCCCTCGTGAGCAAGGACACCCTCGCGCGTGGGAGCGGCTTCCACGTTGGCGAGGCCGACAGCGGCGAGCACGATGAGCTTGACCCAAGTCATCACAGACGACAGAGCGTGTGGTCGGGTCGGAGCGGAGTTGGTCCGCGAAGTTGGGCGATGTGCCCGCCGAACAGTTTCTCGACCGTGATTGACCACGGAAGCTCTCTGTTCGCATCTTATCTTGCAGGGGCGGACCAAACCAACGGACGCACGACAGTCTACCTCGGGCGCACGCAATGTAATGCATGCACATACGGTAATTCATACGGTGCACGTACATGCAACATGCATGCACATACAGACATGCAGTTGCACACACAACGCACATGCACATGCAGTGTGCCATATGTGCATGCACATGTCCATGTGCATGTGCATGCACATGCACATGTGCATGCACATGTGCATGTGCATTCGCCCTCGCCCTCGCCCGTGCCCGCGCCCGCGCCCACCCGCGCGCCCACCCGCACCAGGAGGCGGCTGCGGCGGCACTAGTATCTTGTCAAAGATGCCGCGTGGCACGCGCCCTGTTGGTAGGGGCGGTCGCACGGCCCCTCGCGCCCCTTGAGGATCGTTTGATGAACGCCCGGATGCCGCTGTTCTGAATGCCGTTGCAGTGATCCAGCGCACAGCGTCACTTTCGTCGACGCCATCCCGGCCTCGCTTCAGCCGCTTGATGCCGTGGCAGTGCGAGCAGCGGACCGGCACGAGAAGCGAGCCTGCCGCGCAGAGCACCAGGCGGCCGCGCAGCTCTCGGAGCAGTTCGCCGTAGCCAGGCTTGCTAAAGTCAATCGTCTCGAGATGTGCCGCGAGTGGGTCGGTGGGCGTGCGGTGTTGGCGACACTGCGGGCTGTCGATGCACCCGCCGCGCCAGCCGTCGCAAGGTTTGTTGTACGCGCAGCCCGAGAAGCCCACCTTGGTCATTTGCACACTCAGCGTCGGCGCGGCTGCGACGCCGCGGGAGGTCATTTGCACACTCAGCGTCGTCCGAATACTCGGGCGGCTCGGAGGAGCAGACACAGTGAGGCGGCTCCACTCTCCACGCCGTGAGGCGGCTCCACTCCCACCGTCCACAGTCACGTAGCAGACGCCTTTGTACCGACAGTGAATGCAGTCGTCATAGTCTACGCGCTCGCCGTGCTGCTTCGCCGCCTCCAAATCCTCGTCGCTAATCCTGCGCTGCTCCTGACGCTCGTGCAAGTGCGCTGTGGCGGGTCGCACTTTTATCTATTTCTCCACTCGGCACCGCGGGCAGCGCGGCGGTGCTGTCTGACCGTGCTGACGCATGTGATGCACCGAAGGTCAGCCGCTTGGCGAGCTGGGCCTTGCTGAAGCCACCGCGAGGCGTCTCGACGTTGCAAGCCGCTACACGGAGTGTGCGGGGGGGCCCCGAGGAGCTGGAAACTCACTTTTTCTCTCTTTTGGGGGGAGGGTTGCGTAAGATACGCCAAAATGCCGCGCCTGCCTTGCTATCCCACACAGAATCTAAAATGCCGAGGCGAGTCGCTTGGGGGGGATGGGGGGGGGGGGGGCGCACTCGCGTGACGAAACCTCTCCTGAAAAAAGGGAAGTCTGAAACTGCGGAGAAGCGGCGGGATCCCTTTCATTTTCCACTTAGGGATGTTTCAAAACAAAACTGCGAAAAGATGGCTAAAATATGACCCGTGAAGGATTCGAACCTCCAACCTTTCGATCTGGAGTCGAACGCGCTGCCGTTGCGCCAACGAGCCGAACCACATTCGAACTCGCGTCCGCTCGCCGCAGTGGCGGAGCGGTGCGCAAGCTGTCGTGGAGAGTGTGCCTGCTGGAGACGGGCTCAACTCAGCAGTACAAGTATGTAAAAAGGTGAGGTGATGGGTGAGTGCGTAGGATGGTGATGGTGAGGTGGGATGGTGATGGTGAGGTGGGAGGTGACGGCGAGGTGGGATGGTGATGGTGAGGTGGGATGGTGATGGTGAGGTGGGATGGTGATAGTGGGATGGTGATGGTGGGATGGTGATGGTGAGGTGGGAGGCGAGGCGACGGTGAGGTGGGACGGTGATGGTGAGGTGGGATGGTGACGGTGAGACGAGGTGGGACGGTGATGGTGAGGTGGGATGGTGACGGTGAGACGGTGACGGTGAGGCGGGACGGTGATGGTGAGGCGGGATGGCGATGGTGAGGGCGACGGTGAGGTGGGATGGTGATGGTGAGGTGGGATGGTGATGGTGAGGTGGGACGGCGATGGTGAGGTGGGACGGCGACGGCGAGGCGGGACGGGGGCGACGGCGAGGACGGCGACGGCGACGGCGAGGACGGCGACGGCGAGGCGGGGCGACGGCGAGGCGGGACGGCGAGGCGGGACGGCGAGGCGGGACGGCGACGGCGAGGCGGGACGGCGACGGCGAGGCGCGGGACGGCGAGGCGGGACGGCGACGGCGGGACGGCGACGGCGGGACGGCGACGGCGGGACGGCGACGGCGGGACGGCGACGGCGGGACGGCGACGGCGGGACGGCGACGGCGACGGCGGGACGGCGACGGCGGGACGGCGACGGCGGGACGGCGACGGCGGGACGGCGACGGCGGGACGGCGACGGCGGGACGGGCGGAGACGGGCGAAAGGGTGTAACGAGATGTTGTTGGGAAGATGAAGAATGTAGTTTTAGGGGTTTGGGTGAATGAATTTTTGTAATAGTTTAGTGTGTTATTTAGTGTGTGTTTGAGTGGGTATATAGTTGTGATTTTAGTATAAATTTAAGTAGCCACCGCAAGCACCACCTGTAATAGAGTAGAGGTGAGGGTCGGTCTTGGAATTTCAAAACCAATGTTGAACCAAAGGATGAAGGATCCAGACCACGATGACAGAAACGGCCAAACAAATGGCAACCGCGTCCTGCTCCTGCGTGTCGAGCTTGCGCTTGAGGACAGAGCTGCCCTTCCTCACTTCGATGATGACCGCGTCAAACATCACCCGCGGCGCAGTCGCTCGCGTTGAGGCACAGCTTGAGGTCCTCCACCTTGGTCGACGCCGGCAGGTTGAGCGTGCCCCTCGCCTCTCCCGGCGATCTCCCTGCTGCCACGGCAGCGCCACCCTCGTCTGCTCGGCCGTCTCTGCCATCGCAGTAAAGTCGTTGTGTTCACGCCCCGCTGGCAAACGTTTTGCCGCTCGGCAGGCCCGGAGAAGCAGCCCGGAAAGCACCTTGGAGGTTGATATTCAGAGAACCTTCGTTCGGTTGGGGATGGGACGGGGAACTTTTGCGAGTGGGCAGGGAACTGCAGGGGGAGAGGGGGAGGGAGGCCCAGCGAGGGTCTGCGGCTGGATCCTACTGCGCTGCTGGACTAAAGACGCACTAACTAAACCTCGCTAAATCTGGATGTAAAGTCGCAGTGAACTCGCGCTAAATTTGCGCTAAATTTGCGCTAAATTCGCGCTAAAGTGCGCAAGATGCAGTAGATACACACTTCACAGCCTTGTTATTGAGAAGAAAATACCTCCTATGGCGCTGTTCACACCGCACTAAATTTAGTCCCAGGCGCGCTCTTTTTCTTTCTTGGAAGTCGGCTGCACTCACGAGCCTCCGCTGCTGCCCGGTACGGTGAGCGAGCTGCCACGAGCCAACAGGAGCGGCCAACAAGCACATCGCAAACTCGGCAGACGTCTCTCGCGGCCCAGCTGAACGCGGTCCCCATGATGTTGCCTCGCAAGCGCTCCCGGTCCCACACGGACGCCGGCGCCTCCACGAGTGACGACCCGACGCAGCCCGACTTGGCGCCGCAGCTGATACACGTGCCGCTCAGGGAGGGCGACGATGCCTTGAAGAGCTGCTTCGATCACGTCTGGCGCGAGGTGGAGGTTCCCTGGGTGCGTGTGCCATTCGGCGCACCGCCGGCTGTGCTCTTGACTGCGTCGCACGGCAGCGCCGAGGTCACGTGGTGCAACGCGGGCCGCCCGGGCGCCCACCCGCTCCGTCTGGCCAACGGAGCGCAGCTGTGCGCCGCACACTCGGTGTTCGCGCGGTTGGAGGCGCTCTTCACTCCCTCGCCGAGCATCCGGCACCCGGTGCTCGGCCAGATGCCGCAAGGCTTCGTCTTCAAGTGCGGCGATCACGGGCTCGGGTGGTATCGCGACCGCTACGACGAGCGCGTGCTCAAGCAGGGGCTCGCAGTGCCCTCCAGCGACCGGCTGCCGCCGGCCGAGGTGCCGGTGGCGCGGCCGCTCTACCCCGAACAGGCGAGTTGCGTCGCGTGGCTCCTCGCGCGCCGCAACGAGGCCGTCTTCGTGGCCTCGGCCGAGGAGGTCGTGCCGTTGCCCCACCCGGGCCTCGGCATCGCGGTACGCGGCTACACGCGCGTCGACGAGGGCTCTCCGGCGCTGCTCTGCCACTCGGTGGGCTTTGGCAAGACGGCCTGCGCGCTCGCGCTCGCGGCCGTACACTTGGCCGGCCAGACCCCGACGCGGACGCTCGTGGTCTGCCCGGCGCATTTGGTGCACCAGTGGGAGAGCGAGGCGGCGAAGCTTTTGCCGACCCGCCGCACCGCGCGCCTCGAGCCCGGGGCGAGCAGCCTCCCGGCGGCCGAGATCCTGATCGCCACCCCGGGGGGCTTCAAGCAGGTGGCTAGACGGGCCCCCTCGCTGATTGGTGGCACGCCGCCATGGCTGCTGCTCTTGGACGAGGCGCATGAGCTCGCGTCGGACACGACGCTCCACGAGGCGCTCGTGGCGCTGCCCGCCGCCCAGCGCGTCCTCCTCACGGCCACGCCGCCGCTGCAAGACATGCCGGCGCTGTCGCAGCTCGCGGCCCTGGCGGGTGTCGCCGTGCCGGCGAGGCCGGGCGAGCTGCGCCACTTTTTGGACGCGTGCGCCCGCACCTCCGCCTGGACCGCCCGGGGCATCCCTCTCGAGCACGCGACGGTGCGCTGCCGGCTCACGCGCTCGGAGCAGCTGCTGTACTTCTCGGAGAGGCAACGGGTTCGCTACGAGGCGACGACGACCCAGGGTGCCCAGCGACTCTTGCGCGCGTGCACGCAGTTCTCCGCCGATGAAGCGGAGACACTCGAGTCGTCGGTGCAGCGCGAGCTCCGACGGCGCAAGGCGGAGCTGGCCAGCGCGGAGGCGGTGCTCGCCACCAACGGAGCTGGCCAGCACAAGGCGGAGCTGGCCAACGCATCGTCGGGCGCGTCCTCGGCGGCGGCGGATGAGGAGCGAGCGGTGCGTGCCGCCGCGAGCGTGCGATACTTTGAGCTGGCGATGCGGGCGGCGCGCGGCGAGGAGGCGGGCGAGGAGGCGCCCACCTGCAGCATCTGCCTGGAGGGGCTGGCGACGGAGGCGGCGTCGATCACGGTGTGCGGCCACACCTTCCACACGCGTTGCATCGAGGCGGCATGCCCGTTTGAGGGCTACTCCATCCGCGAGCGCTGCCCGATCTGCCGCGCGGAGCTGGTGCCCAACGACATCGAGGCGGCCTCGCAGTTCTGTGAGGCTGAGGAGGAGGAGGAGGAGGAGGAGGAGGAGGAGCAGCAGCAGCAGCGGCGGCGGCGGCAGCGGCAGCAGCGGCAGCAGCTTGACCCCGGTCGATTCGGCTCCAAGATCGCGCACATCCTCGCGGCGCTGCGTGCCATCCACGCGGCCGAGGGGGCATCCGCAAAGGTGGTCATCATGGCGCAGTGGCCGGAGGTGCTGGCGCGCTTGCGGCGCGCGCTCGGCGAGCACGGCGTCGCAGCGCTCACGCTTGACGGGGGAGCGCTCGCGGTGCAGCACACGCTGCGCACGTTCATCGAGGGCGACGGCGCCTCTAGCGCGGTGCTCCTCCTCTCGACCGCCGAGCACTGCAGCGGCCTCACGCTCACCTGCGCGCGCCACCTCTTCCTCGTGCACCCCTTCTTTGGCGACGATGAGCGGCAGGCGGCGGCCGTGGAGCAGCAGGCCGTCGGGCGGCTTTGGCGGCGCGGGCAGCGCGGCACGGTGCGCGTCGTCCGCTTCGTGGCGCGAAACTCGATTGAGGAGGCCCTCTCGGTGCGGCAGCAGGAGAGGGTGTTCGCCGCGCTGCAAGGCCGCGCCGTTTGAGGCGGCAGGACGTTCGTTTTGTGTACGCGAAAGGTGGAGCGGGGGGACGCGGGCGCCCAGGGGTGTTCGGTTACAAAAACCGGGGCACGATATCTGGTATGGGGATGGCTCATACGGCGCGGCGAACCAACTCCAGGCTCTCCGCGCCCCGGTAGCACAGCTCGGAGGTGCGACACCTCATGGCCTCACCGGCTGCGCAGCTTGCGCGGCGGCTCGCTGCGAGTAGATGTCGCGCACGCGGCGGCCGCCGCCCTGCGTGGCGGCGGCGGCGCGCTTCTGCTTGCTCGCACCGCCGGCGCCGACGCCGCCGCCGAGCCCGACCTGCGCAGCGTGGCCCGACGGCGGAGGGAGGACGGTGCCGATGGCGTCTGGCAAGGCGGCGAGCTCGGCGCAGAGC